CCCCTAATCTGGGGTGTCCCTGGGACTTTCTGTAGCCAATAAAACATGGCAGACATGCAGGGAAAAAGGTACCTGTCTGTGATCACACAGCACTTAGGAGGCTGAGGCAGGAGGATCCTAAATTCAAGGTCATCCTCAGCTATACAGTGAGACTCTGTCTAAAAAAGATGCCTGAGGTGGGAGGAACCCATGGCAGACTTTGTGCTGGTTTTACACTTAGCCATTGAGAAACTTGGATGCTTCTGTTTTAATAAATCTGCCAGCCTGAGATTGCCATACTGTGAGGGAACCCAAGATGGCCTGTACAGAAAGATGCCTGACCAACCACCAACCGCTCCAGTCATCACAACCAGGCATCTGATGAGTGAGCAGAGAGACCACCTTGAACCTTCAACCCTAGACAGGCCATGTGGGAAAAACCTGAGGAACTCAGCCAATAACCCAACCCAGGTTCTAGGCAAAGAGACCACCTTGAACCTTCAACCCTAGACAGGCCATGTGGGAAAAACCTGAGGAACTCAGCCAATAACCCAACCCAGGTTCTAGGCAAATGGTACCAGATGAGCCATTAAAATTACCCTGGCTGAATCCGGAGTTATGACTAGGGACAAAGTGCTTGCCTAGTATGTGCAAGGCCCAGGGCCCTACCTCCAACACTGACTAATTAAAAAAAATTTTTTTACATTTACTTATTTTATATATGTGTGTACATGTTTATATTTATGTGTGTGCATATGCACATGCCACAGTGCCTCTGTGGAGGTCAGAGGACAACTTGGGAGAGTCCATTCTCTCCCTCTACCATGTGGTTTTAAGGAGGCCCAAACTCAGGTTTATCAGACTTGGTGGCTAGCATCTTTACCTGCTGAGTCATCTTGCTGGCCCAATTAAAGTTTAGTTCTCCACCTGAGGTTTCTGTCATGTGGGATAGGAACAAACCATTTCTGCTCTGCACTGCCTGAATTCTTCTTGCTCACAGAGCAGCCCTGAGCATCATCAACTGTTTTATGCCACTGGGTTTTGGGATGGTTTGTTAGACAGCTGTAGGTAACGAAACCCTTTCTTGATAAAGGCAGCACCTGAGTGGCTCTGAGTGGTAAGAGTGGCTCTGTATGAAGCTCTAAGACCTTGTGTGCCTAGCAATGTACCTAGGGGGAGGGCCAGCTGTGTGCAGAGAAGGCTGGCAGTGTACATGGTACTCACACCAGAACTGGGATCTTGAGCATTCCCATCTGATCACGGACAGAGCCGTTGAGCACTGGAGACTCTCATTTCCTAGATGCATTTCCCTACTTGGTTCTAATGACTAGACCCAGACCCAACTTCTTGAACCTCAGTCCAAAACTTGGTCCCAAACTACCCCCATCTTCTTGCTCAGTCCAGCGAAGGGACAGCCATAGAGCCTTGACTTGGCTTCTATCCTTGTCCCTGGGCTCAGGATAAGGATCCTGGTTCCAATTGGACAGACCTGAAGTCTTTGCCATTGTAGAAGTCCCAGGCCGAGGCATGGCATACCACCTCCCTTCCGTCAGTTGGCTTCTCCAGCATTGACTTGTTCCAGAACTCAGAGGGCACAGGTAGCAGCCCCAGAGAGGTGAAGAAATCGTCAGCTTCCTTAAATATCCTTCTGGGTGTCCATCCCTGCAAGAAGAGAGAATTCTTTGCAAACTGGGGGATCTGAGAAACAAATAGTTGTGGTGGGAGAGAGGCTTCAAGAGAGCTATACTGGAGGAAGCTCCTAAATCAGAGGATATTTTTCCCCTCCCAGCTGGGGCCTGCCCTCTCCTGTGCCCTCAGGAGGCCCACAGAGGAAAGGGCCCTGGCCACAGACCTGCTTTATCATGGCCTCTGTAGCATCCAAGTTGGGGGCTGAAGGGAAGGGCGCCACCAAGTCATAGATGTTGGACCAGGTCTGAGCCCACATGTTCCCTGGAGGTAGATGGGGAAAAGATGGCAGAGAGGAAACACATGTAACTTTTTAGGCTCAGCCCCATCCTGCAGGAAGAGGGTGCCAGATCCCAATCCTGCCAAACATAGTGGCATCTCTTCAGCAGCTAATGTTTACAAACCATGCCGGCCATTTGACATGCGTGGCCTTCCACTTGCATAGCCAACCTACAAGGTCATTACCAATGTGGATTACAGGTGAGAACCTCGCTGGTCATCAAGACTCAAGGTGGTCTTTACTACCAATGAGCAGTGAAGAAATCCCACATAAGAAAAACCTATAGTCCTTGAGAGCATCGGTGCCCACGTGGCCACCACTTCCTAAGTGCCACATCAGGCACATGACATGTATTAACTTGCAATCCTGCCTGGTATGATGTATCAGAGGAAACTGGGTCTGAAGGGATTTAAGTGACCCACCAAAGGGCCCATCGCTCCTAATGATGAAACTGGATTTAATATCCCGCAGGTTATAATCCTGACCAAACACCCTTACAGTGTCCCCTCTTGCATCCTCTGTTATACAAGTCATCTGTCAGTAGTCTCATAGCAGAGGCAGAGTATGCTTGAGCCAACATGGTAGGGGTGGGCAAAGTTGGGCTCAGAGAGGAAGAGAGATTAGAAAGATCTGGGAGTGTTAGGTGGGTGGGTGGGGTAACCTGAAGGCCCTCTCCTTTTCTGATCACTAGATATTAAATTACAAGCTCAGCTCTGCCCTGCCCCCTGGTATCCCTGAGAATTCTGTTTTCCTCTTGGGCTCTGTGTTTCCTGGTCACTGGGTTGATGAGCACTCTGATATTCTTTGAACTATCCCAAAAGAGGGATGGAGGAGAGATGGTCTCTTGAGCTGCAGCAATGTTTTGAGTAAGAATCCGACCCCCAGTAGAACCACCTTCTGGGAATCTCCCATATGACTTCTAAATGTGCCCTGTCTGGCTTCTCTGTTTATAACCTCCCCAGGAGGGGCTAGAGAGACAGCTTAGCAGTTGAGAGCACTGGCTGCTCTTGCAGAGGACCCAGGTTCATTTCCCAGCACTCACATGGCAGTTAACAACTGTCCATAACTCCAGTTCCAGGAGATCTGACACCCTCTTCTGACCTCCATGAGCACTGCATGACATGGGTATACTTACATACATGCAGGCAATACAGTCATACACATAAAATAATAAGCAAAATATTATAAAAAATAACAGCCCTTAGGAAAGTGTTCTTGATAGTCCTGGGAACAGGAAATTCTTGGTCTCTCTTTTCCCCCAGTTTACTTATTTATTGTCCTCCACTCCCTTCTTCATGCATTCAAGCCATTTGAGTTTGCAGTCCTGGAAGACTGAGGGCCCAAAGTTGAAGGGGTTCTCAGGGTTCTCTGCTGTGGCCTTTTGACCTAGACATGGTGTTGGTCCTTTCCTCTCACTGCCATCTCTGCCTTCTGTCAAAACCTCTCATCTGTCAAGGGTCACATGGTGCTTCCTTAGGCCCCACTCCTAGCCTCCTTTTGGATCCTGCAGCCTTGATGCATTTATGGGTGATGTAGTCTCCCCCTAGCAAGATTGTGAGTGGTTTGCAAAAATGTAGCAAGTATGGTATCAAATGAACTGGGGAGTGTAGCTCAGTGGCAGAGCACTTGCCTGCCACATACAAGGCCCTGGGTTCAAGTCTCAGCACCACAAAAATTAAAGTAATAATATGTGGTAATAAAATGTGAACAAGAAGCTTCCCTAGCCCCAACCCACTCCAGTTTGGGGCATGTTCCCTCCAGGCCTCATGTCCTGTCACTCTCCTGGCCTGCTCTCTGCCCTGTGACCAGTCATACTCTGTTCCTTGCTGTTGTCCATCGTACCCTTCCTCAAAGCTCGACCCATGTCCATACCTAGTAGGTGGGCAGGAATGGGACCATCCAGGCTGATGTACTGGGGCCCATAGTGGTGGTGCAGGGCACGGCGCACATAGGCATGCAGGTTCAGGTACAGTGGCTGCAGCTCCTCATAGAGCTGTTCCAGGATTTGTTCCAGGTTGTCAGTCTCGTACAGGGATCGCCATGAGTCTCCACCATCAGCAAAGCCTGCAGAGAAGACATGGCCGGGCTTTCCCAATACTGGCTCATTCACCAGCACCTCTCTGACACCTCTAACCTGCCCCTAGCCTGAGAGTCTTAGAGGACCCACTCAAGGAGCTTAAGGGAGCTGGGGACCAGAAAGGCAGTGCTCTCAGCAAGAAGGAACTCACCGTTGAGCCGGGCGACCTTGTTGGTAAGTTCCACATACTTGGGGAAAAGGGGGAGGATAGTTTTTCCTGCACTGTCTCGCCATTTCTTCCACACCCAAAGCAGCTCTTCATATTTCCGGGATGTGGCCATCAAATTTGTCAGATCTGGAAGGGAGGGATTGAATGGCTTGAGCCTCAGTCCTTGGCTTACCTCTTATCTGTTTGTAAGGGGAACTCTGCCACAGTATTCAGAGTTGAAGTAAAACTGGTGGGATAACATGGAAGTGACAGTTCAGGCAGTAAGTTTGGTTAAAGAGAAGTAAGATCAGGACCCAATGACTTCCAGGAGCTTATAGAGTGTCCACTTGGGGTGACATGCTGTGCACACCAACCCCAGACACAGCAACTTTGCAAGGAGTATACTTGTCCCTCCCTCCATATGGCAGCCTACTGACATGCTCAGGTACCCACCAGCAGAAGGTGGCTAGGCTAAAGCATGAACAAAAGGCTGCTGCTTCCGACTACACCCCCTTCCCTGGGAAGAATAGCTTGGGGTCCAAAGACTTGAGTTCAAGTTCCAGCCCTCCTATGGACCCTCCTCCCCAAATTGTCTTGGGCAAGTATCTTTCCACATGTATAAAAAAGGGGACAATCCTAGCTCTCCCAGGGAAGTAGAAATGGAAGAAGAGAGTTTGTTCCCTGAACAGGGGTTATTCCACCCAACCCTGAGCATCCATAGCATTTAATCGCAAGTTGCTACTGGGCAGGACTGAATAATAGCTCTGAGGACTGTGGAAGTACAAAGACTTATTTGAGAAGCCCCAGAGGGGCAGAAACCCTGGGCTTATGTCCTGTCAAAGGCACTTTATGAGACATCCCCAGTGAGAACACAAAGCTGACATCCACCTCATGGGCTGGGGAGAGTCACACAAGGTTGCACTCTTCCTGCCCTGACCCTGGCCCAGACCCTGGCCCAAGATGGAAAAGGCTGAAGTATCTGCTGTTCCCCAAATCCTCACTGTTGGATTTGTGCTCAGGCCCTCTATTCTGGAACATGCTATGTGACAGCCACTTGTCATAGGTAAATGTAATTAACTTTCTATAAAAAAGTTTCATCTTGAGAATTTCTGGTGCTGAGAGTCATTGACCTTCACAGTCTTCTAATTTTAATTACCATGTCAGTGACCAGATGCCCTAGCTCTGGATCAAAGGGCTGCATTGTGGGGGCACTGAATGCTGCATGCTTTTTTAATGCCTTTCTCTAGAAACACACATACCCAGATATGCACACCCCTCATATGTGTGCACACACATGCACATAAGCATGTACACATTCCTTTCCCCAACTTTGTGTGTGTACCCATATCCACTACCTATAGGCCAAACCCTGCCCTGGAAAACTGTTTCTTGATCCTGTTTATTTTCCATTTCCCCTTCGATTTCTCATTGTTCTAATGTGGGAGTCTGGCTGGGGCCAGGAAGAAAACATTTCTGGTAGACATTCTTCACAAAGAATGTTTATGTCTCTAGCTCACCAACCCTGGAAAGACTGGGTCCAGAGCAAGCCTTCTCAAATGGGAACATGCTAAGGAGGAACAGGCAGTTGGGGGAGAAAGGTTGGTTATAAGCCTGTTAACGGCCATCCAGCAGAAAGATGCAGTGGATTGAGGGATGATGTGGGAAAGGTATCAGGAAAGAATGAGGCCAAATTCTAGTTTGGTGCTTCTAGGGGCTCTGAGGCTCTGTGATTCATCCTATCTGGTCGCAGTTTCCTTTTCAGTCATGTGCTGGAGGAGTTCCAAGCAAGCCAGAGAAGGTGCAGACATGAGCCGAGGTTGTCTGTGACTCCCCTTATTGGAGTCTGAGCCTTTGAAAGACACATTTGAGGTTCTACTGCTCTTGAGAGCATGTTGAAAAGAGAAAAGTTGGGAAGACCTGGGCAGGTGGGGTGACCCTAGAGGGGCATGGAATTAGGGCAAAGGTTGAAGTGGGTGCTGATTTTGAGCAGCTCCACTGGAAGAGAAATCCATCTCCTTCACCCCACAGCATCCCCATCCCTACCAATCCAGCCCCTCCACCTCTCTCTCCTCCCAGGGGTGTTCTCACCAGGCTCCAGCTGTAAGCAGGTGCCATTGTCGTAGCATACATTGGCTATGCTGTAAGTGGTCTCCATGTCCAGCAGGATCTTGTTGTACTGCAGTGGGGAGAAAAGAGGCAGTGAGGGGGTACCCTTTGCTCTGGCCCCATACATCATGGGTGGGAACCTAGGGAGCATGCACCCAAAGGTACCACCTTCTTGAGAATTCTAGAGACCTATGGACATGGCCTATGTCAAGACTAGACAAATCAAGGAAGCAGCATAAGGGCGAGACCCGGGGCTGGGCTCACTTCCCCATCACTCTCTGTTCCCCATGGCCACATACCTCCTCTAAATCTGAGGGTGTCAGTGCTGCTCTATCCAGGTTCTGAACCTTCTTTATGATCCGCTTGGTGGTGGAGTTCTGGAAGTTGCTCACATCAAACTGCTTGGCCCAGATGCCATATTTCAGGGTGTGATTGGCTACTTTCTTATTTTTCTGAAGCTGAGGGAACAAGGGGGTGGTGTTGCAGCTCAGGAGCTTTGGCATGACCTCTGTGCAGGAGGATTCATGACGGTGGTAGTGAGGGGAATAGTTTGCTCTGGTTGGCACCTTTGCTTATAAATACACTTTTCAACCTGGACCCTCTGCTAACGTGCTGGCAATTGTTATGTGCCCCTTAACAGATACCTACAGTCCAGCATGATGCATCCTGGCAGGGTAGGGAAGGGGAGCTAAGCATGTGTCTTAAATGTCATTAGGATGGAGGCAACTTGCTATGTGGCCTCCCTGAGTCTTGGGGGCTGCATCTGTGAAACTGGAAGAATGTCACTGATTTTTGCACAGCTCTGAAGGGGTGGATGGGAAGATAAGAGGTGAGTTACTAGGGACCCATGGACAACACATAGTGGGTCTTCATTCAAGGTTAGTGTCCTGTGCTTAGACCATATTACCAGCAGTGGCTCTCCATGGTGTAATGTGTACGCTACCACACAGGCAGGGACAGGGTAGAGGGGAATGAGCCCCTCATGACAGTGGCAAAGAGACTGCCATTTTTTTCAAGAGTGACTCTGGTATTCTTTATGTTTTATGGATCACAGCTCTGACACTAAAGAATAGTAACAGACTCTGTTCATAGCGAAATGTGCTCAGGTATTGAGCCCAGGCTCACTAAGTCTGAAATGGGGTATTGTTTTAAATATTCTCAATAAAAATATTGAGTTTTTTCACCAATTCTGGTAGCTTGGTGCTGTGTATGTGTCTATGTCTGTGTGTGTCCTATGTATCTATGTATGTGCCCACATGTGGGAGCTGGTGGCTGTGGTTCCTACCAGGATCTTGCTGGCTGCTATGGTGATGTTGGTGTTGTAGTTCCAGTTGGCCTCTGCAAAGTCGTTCCACACCACCTGGGCTGTCCGGTCATACTCCTCCACAAACTTGTTAGCCTCAGCTTCATCAGTCACTAGATCTGTAGAAAGTGAGGAGGGAAAATGACAAATTTTGCTTTCCTTCCCCAAGGTATGGTTTTACCAGAGTCCCCTTCTGCCATTCCACCACTCCTTTGCCCCCCTCCCGTGGCCCTGTCCCCCTCCAGGAATCCCACTTAGGTGCTGGGTTGTCTGGTTGATAGTTGCTTGGTGAGTTGTTGTCTGGCTTCTGGTTATTGTCTGGTTGGTTATCCCTTGGTTGGTTGTCACCTGATCAGAGGCCACCCGGCTCAGGACCAGCAGGGGGTACCCGAAGCAGAGCAACAAAAAGAGGAAGTTGGGCAGTCCTAGAGCAGCCCAACCTTGGCCCATGGCCGCAGGAGAACAGAGCCGTGCAGGCCCTGCTGCTAGCCAATAAGAGCTGAGCCTACAGTGTGACCTCATAGAGCAATGTGCTGGCCAGACTGCCCCCAGGGGCCCTCAGGCTTGAGCACACCGTCTCTAGGATGCTGGGGAAAAGACATGTCCATCCTCACTGCAAGGCCCTGATGATGAGCCCAGGGGCGACCAATGCCTCTTTCAGGGCTTTACCAATGCCTTCTGGGTACTTGTCAGGTAATGGTGGTCGCCACTGGTACTCTGGCCAGCCCAGGACCTCGCCATTCTGTTGGTTCTGCTCCTGTAGCCACTGGCTGACCGGATGGAAGTAGTTCAGCAGTGCCTGGGCATCTAGGGCATCTGAGCCCACCATGTCCTTCAGCACCTCCTGCCACGGCCTGGAGCAGCCAGCCTGCAGCACCTTCCTGTCAAACAGAGTGAGCTCATGGGCACAGAGGGCATAGGCCGGGTTCCAGAGCAGCTCTGCTATCCATTTGTTCCCCACTAGCAAGTGGAGTCCAAGGCCTAGGGTCTCTGTGAGAGTGGTAGGGGACATTTGCCTGGCCCCATGGCAGCTGAAGATCAGATTAATAAATATCTGAGAGAAGAAATGCACCCTCCAGCAGTCTAGCTCTCTGGTGTTACAACCAGAGCAGTCAGCTGTCTGTAGACATACCCTTCACCAGCCTGTCCCCTCAGCCTCCCTGACTTGTCTTCCCTTCCTGCCACACACCGGAGCTTGGCCCCCGCCTGGACAGACTGGTAGATGTCACACTGGTGCAGTGGGCCCTGGTGGCCTGCCTCCTTGCACAGGGCTTGATGAAACTGGAACTGCAGAACAAAACTCACAAAGTACCTGGAGAGACAGGGTGGACATTAGAAGGAATGTGGAGGGCCAATAAAAAGGAGGTCCCTTGCTCAGGTTCCATCCAGTATCCTGAAGGGTAGAGGTTAGACTGAGGGGTATCTGGAGAAAGAAGGGGGGAACCAAGCATAGCCCAGGAGAGAGAACCATTCTAATTCTGAGCCCTCAAGTCTCCAAAAATATGAGACCAGCCCTCAGGACAAGCAGATAAGGTCACAGGAGGAGGGGAGGGGCCTATGGATGATGGAACTGAGGAGGGGTATGGGATGCTGGTACCTGATATATGGCATCACATTTGGGATATGAAACTTAGCTCCAGCATCAAAGTGAGTTTCTTTCCGGACAACTGGAGGGCAAATTCCCTGATACTTGGTTCTAGAAGAGGATGTTTAAGCCAAAGTCAGGCTGTCTGAGCTTTGCAGAAAAGGTAACACTTCTACCCTTATCCCACTCCCACCCCAGCATCCTTTCCCCATCCTGGGAAATAGAGGAAACTCCCAGGAGATGAAGTTTCAGGCAGGAAGGGAGAAGCAGTAGTGAAGAGGGCATACATCCTTAGAAGGGGGGCAGACAAGACCAATAGAGGCAGGAAGTTTCTGGTTGCCCAAGAGAGGAGGGAGGGCTCTGGGTTAGGCCTTTTCTAGCCCTCTTCTCACCGAAGATACCACCAGTCAAAGTTGTAGTGGGATGGTGGGGTATGTCCATTGAAGACCCCCCAGCGCCACTGATCTACCAGGTAGCCAAACGGCAGGAAAGCAATTTTCTCCAGGGCCATCTTTAGCAAGTAATTAATATCACTTTCTGTCAGGAGATAAGAAGAGAGAGGTAAGGGGGAGGAGGGAGGCCAGCTAGGACAGGTGGACCTGGAGAGGACAAACCATCAGGAGGTGATGCTGGACAGATGAAGAGAAGGTGAGTTTGCCCTGTTTGGACAAGGACTCTGGGTGAGCACTGAGCTCAGGGTGGGTGTTTTGAGGGCCTTAAGGTAAAAACAAGAGGGATAGATCAAGTGAGTGGGGGTCAGTGGCCATGTTGGAGGGGATTTGAATGGGGCCAGGGTGGGCCCTCTCATCACCCTGTCCCCATACTCATGTCATTGGCAACATGGTCCAGCAGGCCTATTTTGTGCAGATGTGCAGGAGTGGAGACAGAGAGTGCCAGCACATCCCCGATGGCCTCATGGAAACCGGGGTTGGCGCCTCTACGCAGGGAGACAGGCAGGTCCTTGTACTGTAGGTAGTACTGCACGTGGCCCATCTCATGGTGCACTGTGGACAGCTGGTCCATTGTGACTCGTGTGCATTGCTTGATCCTGGGGCATAGAGAGGGTGAGGATGAAGATGAAGAACAGGACAGGGCAGGGGCCAGAGCACTGGGGAGGCTAGTACTAGAGGGACACAGAACCAAAAAGGGTGCTGTCCTGGGATGAGAAGTACCTAGAAACTAGCAACTCTTTGATCTTGCCCTGGACCACCAGTGGTCAGGTTCTCTTCCTCCATTCCAAGGCAAGACAGAGCTTACTACTTGTCAAAGCTTCAGGGAAGGTGAGCTAATGGGATAGCATGCCCCACATCCCTGGACTAGACCACCCCCTAATCAGGGGTAGGTGGAGATGGGCCTGTGTCCCAGCTGCTTTTTCCTTGGAGCCCCAGTATGCTCCTCCTCCCAGGTCTAGACCTGAAGTCCTTCCTGTTGTAGAAGTCCCAGGCTGAGGCGTGGCACACCACCTCCCGCCCGTCAGTTGGCTTCTCCAGCATGGACTCTGCCCAGAACTCAGGAGGCATGGGAGAGAGCCCCAGAGAGGTGAAGAATTCCTCTGCAACCCGGAACATGTGTGTGGCATTCCAGCCCTGGCCAGAGGTAGGGAAAACAGGTCAGAAGCCAGCTAAGAGGAATCTGTCTGGCTACCCTGAGGGCAGGGTTGGTAGTCTCCATTCTGGGCAGCTCCCTGCCCAGGAAAGGCACATTTTCTTAGTGGCCTCTGTCCCAGAGGCAGGGCACTACTGACTACAGCACCCTGTGATAGTGGACTGCTGCCACACTCTGCTACCATGGACAGTTACCCCAACCTACTGTTGGTTGGTTACAGGACAGAGAAGAGTCCTCTTTGACCTTGTGCCTATCATATGACCCTTCCTGCTCCTGTCCCCACCTCATTATCCCTATCTGGGGCCTGACTCCAAGAGCTTACCTTCTGCACCATTGTACTTGTGACATCGAGGTTGGGCTTGTCTGGGAAAGGCACCACCATGTCATAGATATTGTCCCAGCTCTGGGCCCACATGTCTCCTAGATGGAGGAGGTGAGTGATACAGGTTGGCCTCTGCCCAGCCATGCCTGATTCCCTATACGTGTCACCCTGTGCCCTGGGACCTCAGAGAAACTCTTCTGATTCAAGGCCAGGCATCTCATATACCCTCTTCTGCACTCTCTAAGTTCTTCAGGACTAGCTGCTGGTTTCCTTTCTGACTGCGTTAAGGTCCCTTGCCAAAGGGCCATTGGTTCACAGGCTCACAGGTTCACTTTCTCTAACATGAAGTGGAACTAGGCTGCCTCCTTCCCTGGACCTGCAGCCTCTAAGACCCTAAGCCTCAGTGTCCCCATGTCTTAAGCAGGATCCCAGCCTGGTGGTAAACATTGAGCCAGTCACATGCAGATGTGGGGAAGTGAACATTATGGTGTTCCACATTGAGGCACCATGAGGATGACTCATTTCCCTCTGCTGGGCATCCAAGCTTCCCTGGAACTAGTGTGTCAGCATGGTCCAAATCCTTACCTAGCAGATGAGCAGGGATGGGCCCCCTCAGGTTGATGTATTTGTCTCCATAGCGTCGATGCAGTGCACGGCGGACGTAGGCATGGAGGTTCAGGTAGAGAGGCTCTAATTGGTGGTAGAGGTGCTCCAGGTTCTCTTCAAAGGTGGGGGAATCATACCAGGAGCGCCAGTAATCTCCTGTGTCCAAGAAGCCTAGCAGAGTGGGAGAGAACAGCTCAGGCCCAAAGCTTTGCCTATCTACCTCTGAGTTTTAACTTTACCATCTTCCTGACTCCAGGCCTGACTTGGGATTGCTTTCTGTTGTTTTGAACCGGGGCTTTACTATGTAGCATAAGCTAGCCTCAAAATGGATATTCTCCTGCCTTGACCTCCTGAGTGCTGGGATTATAGGTGCATGCCTCCACATCCAGGTTTTTGTTTGATCCAAGGTCTCACTACGTAGCCCAGGCTGGTCTCAAAATCCTCATCCTCCTACCTTGGTCTTTCAAGTACTGGGACTACAGGCTTGGATCACCATACCCAGGTCTATAACTTCTATCCAGGGGCTTCTTAAAGCTCCAGCTATTGATCCCAAAGCAGTGAGACAAAGAGGAGTCCTAGGGCTGGGAGCAGTGTCACGAGCGGTGCCAAGAGCAGCGGTAGGAGGGCTAGGAGGGCAGGACAGTGGCACAGGAAGACATGGTGGCTGTAGGCGCTATACTACCTCCACCAGCTGTGAAAACTTGGGTGGGCCCTGGAACTATCACATTGGCTGTCTTGTCTGGCTCAGGGGCTTGGGGCTCTATGGGGACAGCAAACAAAAGTATTTACAAGCTGGAAAGGGCTGCTGTCCCTGGAGAGGGAAAGGCAGGCTCACCATCCTGTCTGTAGGCCTCATTGCTGAGAGCAGTAAAGTCCTGGTACAGGGGTTTCAGTGGGATGCCCACAGCATCATGCCAGCCCTCCCAGGCAAACAGCAGCTTGGCATAGCTTCGTGAGGAAGCCAGGATGTTGGTGAGCTCTGAGACACAGGACAGCAGTGTCAGTTAGGGAATTTTTGTGTGTCAATCTGTAACAGTCTTCACCAGAGTTACACACAGGTCCTCACCATTCCCACCAGCTTCCTCAGCATTACAATTCCCCCAAGAGAAGGGCACCTTACAGGCTTGGAGGGATAAGGCTAGGAACTACACAAAGCAAGTACTAGGCAGGACCCTGTCTTAGGAAAATGATGCCTAAGGTAGACACAAAAAGGACATCCAGAGGTCAGAGCACAGTCATTCTTCATGGCTTATGGATGGAATGATCCATCTTGTGGGGCAGGACAAGAAACCCAAGGCCTGTGGAGGGTTTTTAGGGCTAGTTAGAGGACTCATGTAAAGGAGGGCTAGATGTTGTGGGGAGAACTTAGTGGTTGAGAGGGGTGGGGCTGAGGGCTCCCCAAAATGAGTTTTCCAGAAGTAGGGGTGTAGAGCAGGAAAGTGGGAGACATCTACATGTTCCAACCCCAATGGGAGGTCAACATCTTTGGATTCACCAATAAAACATGCCATCCTCTTGGGTGTTCCAGGGTGACTGAGAGGGCTAGGAAACCCCAGCAGAGAAATGACTGGCCGTACCTGGGTCGAGCGACCAGCAGGTGGCAGTCTTGTTGGGGAAGCAGACCTTGCTTGTGGAGTAGATCCTGCTCATGTTGCTTAGCAGAGCATTGTACTGGAGAGTTGGAGTTGAGGAAATGATGTTAATGAGGACACTTTGACCTCTGGAGTTTAATCTGGCCACCCCCTCCCTCGGGTGGGAGGGAAAGGTGGCCTAGAGAGGGGATGTGGCTCAGACAAGGTCATTTCAATTCTGTACTTCCAATTGCCAGTTCAGTGATGCCACTTCCAGTGGAGGCAGCCTGTAAACATAGACCAGAGATCCAGGGATCCCAGGGGTGTGTGTGTGGGTTTATGAGAATGGACCTCTCTTTGCCTGTGCAATGCTGGGGGAACCCAGAGCCTCATAAGGCTAGGCAAGCAGTGTATCATTGAGCCACACTCCAGCTCTTGAATTGTCTTCACAATATAAAGTAACTTGCCACTCCACGTGCAAGGGAAACCACTGCTCCCACCATCCTTCCCTGGCTCCCCTACAGTCAAGGTCCAAACGGATATGTCCCTCCCTGTCTGCCAAGGTACTCCCTCAACCACCGCAGTAGGGCACTTGGGGTTCCCCTCAAGTTCTACCTCCACCCTCAGGCCCACCTGCTGCCTTTTGGTCAGGGGCAGGTTGGCAGGTCCGAGGGTGCGTACAGCTCCAATGATCCTTCGCAGCTTTGAGTCAGTGAAGTTCTGCCAGATGGCCTCGTACAGCTCCTTGGCCTTCTGGCCCCAGACCTCTGCAAACTCCTGGCTGAGCAGGGCTGCTTCCTCCTGTGGGCACCAAGATAGCGGTAGGGCGGCCCAACTCAGGTAGGGACCATATAGGAGAGGCTATGTTCCCGAGAGAGCCGGGGAAGGTCAAGGGCTTCTGGATCCCTGGCCCTGTAGAGATCTTGTCCTGGAGAAGAGCTTGCTGGAGCAGCACCCCTCCTCCCGAGCCCTCCGGTTGGGAACCGCGGGAATCTGACTCGAGGGAGTAATGGAGCGAAAAACTGGGGCCAGAAGAGGGGATGGTGAGTAGACAGTGGAGGGCAGAGACAGGAGGAGGGCAGTAGGCAGCTGCCGCATGGTTGGCAAGAGCTCCAGAAAGGAGCAGGGCACCCTGTGGGAGACGGCCGCTGCCCCAGCCCCGGACACTGCGGGCTGGGAGGACTCCACCTCCGAGGAGCCAGCTTCACCCATTCCTTTCTTATATTGGCACAGGTCACGTGCCCCACCCGCGCTAGCGCTCCAGGGCCTGCCTGATGTGCCGAGGGCGTGCAGGGGTCGGGCCCGCGGGCAGGGAACCCCCACTAGGGACCCCCACGGCTGAGGGCTGAGGGCCCCCTGGCACTTGCTGCCCGCCCCCCGCGGCCCGCGACCGCCTCCTGATTGGCCGCTGCGCCCCGCCCCCGCCCGGGCCCGGGGCCCACCTGGCGCCGAGCATTCTCCTCGGTGATGTTGGTGTCGTGCGCCCAGCTGGCTGCCGTGCTCTGGAACAGCACCTGCTCGGCGCTGGAGTTGTAGCTGTCGGCGAAGAGCTGCGCCCCGGCCTCATCCGCGGAAAAGTTGCCGGGCTGCAATCCAGGGGCGAGCGCCAGGGTGAACGGCAGCAGCGGCAGCAGCAGCGGCGACAGTGGCGACTGGGGCCGCCCCCGCCGGCCTGACGCGGCCCCCATGGCGCGGTGCGCGCGGTGCGGCGCTGCCACTTCTTCCGCGCCGCGACCGCCCCGCGGATTATAAAACCTAGCCACCGCCGCCTCCCGACACACCCCCACCTCCCCGCCCTGCCGCCCTTCCTCCCGGGCTCCAAAGTCAGCTCGGCGGGGCGGGGGTGAGGTTCCTGGCCGGCCCCGGGCAGGGGCGCCTGCCGGGGAGGGGCCCGGGAGCAGCCTGGGGTGGATGGATGGGGCCGGACCGGCTCTCGCGAAGATCACTAGAAAGGGACCCCACCCCCTCACGTCTCTCCAACACAGGGCTTCGGATTGTCTGCCGCCCCGTGCCCTCTGGCTGCCACCTTGGCATCCTCAGCTCCCAGGGCCTGGTGCTGACTCTCAGGCTCCCCGGCCTAACCTTCCCAGGCCTTTCCAGGCTCCCGAGAGCCAAGGGGCTGGTGCAGCAGGGATGGGGTCGAAGTGGCCAGGTCGTGGTGGAAGGGGGTCTGTTCTGTTGAGGAGGGGGAGCCATGGAGTGCCCTAGAAACGGTGGGACGCCTTTCCCCATCCCATTGGGGTGTACATGTGGATAGTCGTTCTGCATAAACGATCTTGCATGTTATGTTCCACATAAACGATCTTGCATTGTCCCAACAGAGCCCTAGAACCTCACAGTTGCAGACTTCCTTGAGAGCTACAAAATGCCTTAGAGATTAGAGCACCCCTCTGGTTTTATAGATGAAGAAATTACCACGGAGACAGATTGAGTGGCTTGCTTCAAGTCACCTCAGGTCTCTACATTCCCAGACTTTTTCCTGTCTCCTCCACTTGTCCCTCAAAGTGACAAGCATGGAGGAGGGAGGATAATGGTGTATTTTCGATGCACCAGCTCTGCTGTTGTGGAGGCTAATCCCTCAGTACCAGGGTCGTGTCACCCTGAGATGGGAGGACCCTTGTCCCTGGCAGGTAGGCTTATGGTGCAACATGGAGTTGGGTGCAGAAGACTGTGTGACCTGGAGTGCTCAGATTGTGTTGACCTGTCAGAGGACGGCCCAGGAGGATCGGTAGAGATGAAAAGAAGAGGAAGGTGACTGCTCCAGGTATATGGGATGGAGATCTGTACTTATTTTAAAGCAGGGATGAGTGGTGGGGGCTGGAGGTTTGAGAAGACTGCTGGGGGCTAGGTCTGGGCCTATCCCAACTCCTGCCCTGGGCTTTTCCAAGCCTCACCCTCTCCCCGTTTGGATCACAGGGCCAGTGGAAACGGCATGGGGTGACTTACAGGGCTGGCTAAGTGGATGGATGCCAGTGATCAGAACAGCATTTGGAGGGCAAGGGGCTAGTAAAGGGTGACATGGTAGCTTGCATTCTAGGGACTACCTGGTGAGCTCTCAGGCGGTCCTAGTGGCTTGAACCTTCAGGCTTTGCGAATTGTGGGCCATATGTGTATTCTCACTAGTGAGTTGCTAGCTTCTGGGAGAAAGCAGCTTGTACTGGTGGAGGCTTAGGAGGTTTTGGGATCACCCCCTCCTGCAAAGCAGGGGGATGGGTAGAGAGGGGCAGGAGGCTGAGACTTAGTCTGTACTGAGGAGCTCTTCTCCACTCTCAACAAAGAAACAGAACTGCAAGCAAGGAGATGGGCAGTCAGGGCAGAGCTGGAGTCCAGCCTGGTCCTTGGAGAGCTCCTGAGCACCATGGCTAGGAGGTAGAAGGGGCAGGCACTAAATTCTGCTGGCTCATTCTGGGGCCCAGCAGTGTGGCATTGTGACAATGTCTATAGTCTTGGGTGAGGGACTGAGTTCAGCAATAAGTAGCCTCCACCTTACTGAAAAATCATACAGTCAATGGCTAAACTGGTGTAAAAGAATACAAGCTTGCTTAGTTATAAGGAGCAAACTGATATCAGTGTTAGTTGGAGGCATTCCCCTACTATCCCCTCAAGGTGACATTTTATTATAACTTGTTGAAGCTTCCCCACTACATCCTACCTTCCAAGAGGGCAGAGACAGGGTCTGCTTTATTCTCCGGTTTTCCCAGAGCTTAGCACAGTACCTGGCAGAAGATCTCCACTCAAGGAAACAAGGAAACATGGAAGGAAGGAACGACCAGCAGTTCTGTTCACATTCCTCCTGGTGGTAAGCTCGCAGCCTCTGTGAGAATACTCTAGGAAGAGCCAAGCCTCACTAATTTGGAATGTACAGTAATACAGACATTGTGACCTTGATACCCTGATAAGTAAAAGTTAAAAATAACTTTCTCTATTTTTAGGGTCTTACTCATGAGGGAGAGAGAAAATAAGAAAAATTTACCTTACATTTGTATAGTACTTTGGACATTTCTGTATCCTCATATGTGAATGATTTAAGTTGATATTCATGATAACTTTTGAGAGGTCAGGAAGAGGGCAGGTTCTCCACTGTCAGCTCTCTCCTTAGCTTCTCCCACAACTGTGGAGGAGGCACCCAACCCTGTAAGAAGATTTAATTAGAATGAGGCCAGTGAAGAGCCTTGAAGATTTGACCCATCTTGAGAAAAATTCAGCCTGCTCATTTGATTAACCTCTCTCCATCCTTAAACTCTTTACAGTTACCAGAAACCACAGATTGAGAAAAAAACAGCCCCTAAGATATGATCAGTAAAGCTAGGCATTGGTGGCACACTCCTGTAATCCCTAGCACTTGGGAAACTGAGGCAGGAGGATCAAAAGCTTGAGGTCAGCCTGGGCTACATAGTGAGTTCCAGGTCTAGCTTGGGCTACATAGAGAGACCTTATCTCAAAAAAGCACAGACAAGACTTCCCCAAAACAAAAACATCATAAAACACCTCAAATCCAATAGTAAGATGGGATTGCGAGCTCAGAAATGAACTCTTATAATTATGTTCAATTGATTTTGTTATTTTGCTACATAACCTAACAAGCTAATAATGCCACCTTAAGGGAGGTGCAGGGTGATGCCTCCAATTAGCCCTGGTATCTGTTTGCTCCTTATAAACAAGTGAGTTTAGATAATTTTATAACACCAGTTAGCCTTTGATTGTATGATTTTTCAGTAAGGTGGAGGCTGTTCATTGCTGAACTCAGTTCCTAACCCAATACTCTGGGTTGAGTCCAGGCCAGAAGTTCTCCTGCCTCTGCCTCTGCCTCTGCCAGAGCCCCTGAGTGCTGGGATTGCAGGTATGTACCACTATACCCAGCTGTTCAACTGATTTGTATGTGTGTCGTATGTATGCATAACTGTTAGGGTGTGTGCATATGAATGTGGAGGGCCAAAGGTCAACATCTGCTATCTTTATCAAAGTCTCTCCTTTTTTCTCAATTTCTACCTTATTTTTTGAGGCAGGGTCTCTCACTGAACCTGGTGCTTATTGATTTGGTTAGATTGGCTGGCCAGCGAGCCCCAGGAATCTTCCTGTCTCTGCCTCCCCAGTATTGGGATTATAGGCACATGCTGCTGTGCCCAGCTTTTTACATGGGGGCTGGGGATCCAAACTCAGGTCCTCATGCTTACATGGCAAGCACTTTACTGACTGAGCCATCTCCCAGTCCCTTCACTGATTTTTGCCAAGGATGCCAGGTCATTTAAATTAGAGGGGAAAAAACCTGAGATCTTAAGGCCAACCTGGACACATAGTGAGACTCTATCTCAAAAAAAGAACAAAAAAGGAAACAATAACAAATGTTGGCAAGGATATGGGGAAATCAGAGAATTAAAATCCTTATATCTTGCTGGGGAGATTGTAAAATGGTCTAGCCACTATGGAGAACAGATTAGTAATTTCTCAAAATGTTTAACATCCAATTATCATGTTACCCTATAAGTCTACTTGTTTGATGTATATATGTATGTATATATGAAACTCAGAAACTTGAAAACATGCCCATATAAAAATTGTGTGGAAATGTTCATAGCAACATTATTCATAACACTAAAACTTTGGAAACAATCCCAATGTTACGAATACAAAAATGTGTATTCATACAATGGAATTTTTTTTTTTTGTTTTTTTTTTGAGTCAGGGTCTCCCTGTAGCCCCATCTGGCTTGGAGCTTGCTTTGTAGACCAGGTTGGGATTAAAAGCGTGCGCCACCATGCCCGGCATACATACAATGGAATATTTACGCAGCCACAAAAAGGAATGAAGTGATTATACAAGCTACAAGAGAATGAACCCTGAAACATTATGCTAAGTGAAAAAACTGCAAGACTATATATGAATCCATCCATGAATGTTAGCTGTCCAAAATAAGCAGTTCACAGAGACAGAAACCAGATTGGCGGTTACAGTGTCTTAGGGAGGGAGAAAGGGAGAGGTTGACAGCAGTTACTGGGGTTCTTTTGGGGGCGATGAAAAGATCCTAAAGTGGTGATGGTTACACAACTCTAAATATAAAAGTCACTCTACACACTTTAAGAGGGCGAACATTATGGCATACATATGAATTATATCTTGGTCAAGCTGTTACTTAAAAATGCTTGGGGTGGGGACATAGCTCAGTGAAAGAGCACTTGCCTAGCATGTGCAAGGCCCTGGGTTCCATCCTCAGCAACCTCCCTACCCAAGCCCAAAGGTTTGACTCCATCGTAAGTTCATCAAGAGATCATTTGATTAGTGACTGGCCTTCAGAACAGCTCCTAGATTACTCACAGACTCCCCTTTACTTAGCCCAATCCTGCCACTCCTCAGCACCCAGCTTAAGTCCTGCCTCTACTGGGAAGTAGCCCTCACTTCCCTATCCCACAGGAATCTCCCCTTTCCGTATTTACTCAGTATCAGCTGTTGTCTACAGTCTTCCTCCATTGAGACTGAACCCATGGTCTTGCGCATGTAGGCAAATGTTTTACCACTGATATACTTCTACCCATTTTTTATTTTTAATTTTCAAAGAGGGTCTTGCTACGTTGTCCAATTTGCAATTCTCCTGCCTCAACTTCTGCAGTAGGTTAAACTACAGCACTATCAGGAATTAACAAGAAGAACTGGGGACAGAGTTCAGAGGCAGAACACTTGCAAGACGTATTTAAGATCCTGGAATCCATCTCAGGCACTGG